TGTGTGTGTGTGTGATATCATGGCTGACTTCATGCAACCCTCCCCATGATATCCAGTTATATTTTTAAGCACCCTATCTTAAAACATTTAAATGAAAAAGATCTTAAAAATCACGATTATTTAAAAGAATGAAGTTAGTACCAAGTTTTGCACAAGATAATAAAACATTTTGTAAGCTTAAAAAATCACAATACTGCTTTGAAGTGTATTTTTAATATGACGATATCTTTTAAAAAACCTGGAATACATTATATAAGATTTAGGAGTATAACTTCGTTTGATTTTTAGAAAAAATGTGATTTTAAATATTTTTTATGTTAAATTTATAAAAATTAATTTTAAAATTTTAGAAAAGTTGGTGGTAACTGGTAAGTTTCTCGTCATTTTACTTTTTTGTTTAAAAACTTTTGTTCTACGATTTGAGTCCTTAAATGTGGGTTTCTCCATAATTAGAACCATTTGAATGAAGAAGCGAAAGAAGAAAAAAAATAAAATAAAAGAAGACCCATCTCTCCAGTACTAGTGTTATGATAACCATCGCTTCTCTCTCTCTCTCCCAATTCTCAAACCCCAAAACACAAGGCGGAGCAATCATCATGTCTTCTTCCCTCTTCGTCTCATCATTATTCCGTCCTCACTTTCATCATCACCACCTCCCTCCAACCTCACAAAACCCATCATCTCTCTCTCAGACGACTAATCTCCCCGAAACAACAAACAGAATCAAGATCTTATCGTCGTCGGACAAGGGTTAGACCAGAGACCAAGAAGATGAAGAAGAAACCCTACATCAACCGGTGACCTTCTTCTTCTGCTTCTTCTTATGACGCTACTTTCTTCTCTCTCTCTCTCTCTCTCTCTTCTCGGGGAATTGAAGCCTTGTGGTCCGACGTACTACCTAGTACTCTTCGCTAGATCAACCAAATCTAGCTCTAGCTTATCTCTTATATGGTTTCTGTTTTTCTGATATTATTCTTCAAAGCTTCTTCTGTAGTTTCTGCTTCGGTTTGATTCTGCGTATTACGTGTGGTGCCATGTTTGTGAGCTTGCTGTTTTATCTTCATGATTTGATTTGATTTCTGATCTCTCTCGTGTGTAGTTAATGGCTGTAAATTTGATTGTATTGAAATGATTTTAATTAACTAGAGTTTGAGACGACGTAGAGATCTGGATTTGTCTTCCCATGTGTATGTACGATGATACATGTTATTCTTAAGGTAGCAGTTGGAATGTTTCTGAATCTACTATGTTAATTTGTGTACTGTAGACTTTAATGGTTATCATCATGATGACCTCGATTGTTTCTCCTTTGATTCCTTTCTTCAAGTAGGTTTTCTTTTTACTGTTATCTTTACTTCTTCTTATAGGATGTTGAACTGTCTTTATTACATATGTATGGTCCTAGCATGCAGGTGGTCTGATTTACATGTTTCATCTGTTCTCTTCTTCTTCTGCTGATCTCTGGAATAACCTAAAAATAGATAGCGCCCTAGAAAGATACCATGAGAGTTATATTATTAGTCAATTCTCTGGCCAAATCTTAGCCCTGAAGGATTTTTCTGGTAGTTTAATTTTTCCATTTCAGTTTGATTATCGGATGATGAGTTTAAATTCACATGACGACAGCAAGCTATATCCCTCTGATCGATATTTCCTCTATACTCAAAAGAGAAATGACGTATATCTTCCAGCGCAAAGCTAAGAAACTAAACTATACTTTGGGGAACGATATTTGTTTATTTTGAGCTGCGTATAATTGTTATAGCCAGCTATAGGTGATGTATAGGTTTGAGATCTCACCTTACTTCTATTCATATTACATTATGCACGGTGGACGGTAAAAAATCATTTAGGCTACTTGTGTACTCACACGCAAACACGCATAAAGATATATACATTATTACAAGTATTTTTTAAACCTCAATTTCGATTTTATTTATTGTGTTAAAAGTTATAACACATTTAATCTGCTCTGTCGAGAAACAAATTCAATATATGAAAAATTAAATACGAGGATATTTTGAGCCAATTTCACGTGGAAGGTCATTAATGTAGGGCACCTTTTAATTTGGAATAATATGCTGGGTCACATGATTTAGATATCTCCGAAAATTTAAACGATAAAAAATCATCAACGTACTCAAGAGAACACAATTAAGTTGACAAAGAAATATCAACGGAGAAGAATTTGAGAGGTACGCCAAGCGTTAAAACATGGTGTTTGAAATTGATCATTTTGTTTGTGTTTGTGTGTGTTTTTAGATTCTGTTTACATTTTAGGTCAACATTAACACTTTACTTTTGTCCTTCCAAATCGCAATATATATAGCTGTTAAGCACCCACAGTGATCTCCATTATAATTAGTTGTCATGTGTTGTACTTGTCCTCCCTCTTATGTTTATGATTTTTTTTTCAAAAGAATTAAAGTTCGTTTTCAATACTAAAAAGAGTTGATCTAATTAGTGAAGATCAACTAATAACTTACAAGGTTGTAAGTTCCAATTGCCCTGCCAATATGAGGACCATGTTAGTGGGTGATCTATAAGTATTTTTGTACTGTTTTCTGAGCCTGGAGACTTACCCTAACTTTAGTAGTCTTGGGATTCAACTTACCTAAGGTTTTTTATCTCAAAAAAAAAAAAGTTCCTTCTCATCAGTATTTCTGTGGGACTTGACAAGAATCTATTTCTTTGTGTGTATCCCATTCGATTAGCTACATAACCAATTAATTAATCCGCTGGACGTTTGTGATTAGTTACATTAACTAGGTCTCTGATTTTTAATTTTACCTGCATACACTATAATAAGCGATTCAAATTATTTTATGATCTTCTGTAAAATTCATAATAAATCACGTCACATTATTATTCATACACGTAAATTCTTCAGAGTTCATATATAATGCATGGGTGCCACTTAATTAACCGTAATTAAGCATTAATTACTTCATGCCTGCAAATCATTATTAGATGTTGAATGAAAGAATAATGTGTAAATATGCATCTATGATCTATCTATTGTTTTCTTTAATCTCTCCTATGAGGGAATAATGATGATGATAGTTAACCTGGAAATATTTATATGGATTTGCTGGGAATTCTTCTTAGTTGCTATCCAAAATATTTGTGCCCTCTACATTTTGAAGTCCCTTCCATTTATATATATCTCAATTTTAAAAATGATTTATGGTCGTCAAATCAATAATTGTTCAGGTTGATGATTTCTTTGGATTTAATTTGTAATGCAAATAAAATGGGAAAGATTGATCATTTAAATTAAATCATGTGACTCTACATTAGTTTTGAAATGTTGTCGGGCAGTGAGAGAATGATTCGAAGAAATAAAAATATAATGAATCCAACACACACACACACACACAAATCTCAATTCTCGTTTTGACAATATTGCACATGCCGTGCATAATTTACTGTGAAGAATTTAATTTAGAGTGGTTTATAATTAGCATTAGGTAAACAATGGGAATGGTTAAATGAGTGAGGGAACATAATCATTAAAATATTCCCACAGCTGGAGGGCGCTCTCTTTCCTTCGCACCTTCCTTTGATTCTGTATATTAATCCACATGCAATGCATTTAAAGCCCCCTTTGGTTTGCTGAAAACGTTTTAGTAGAAATAAAAATGAAAACGGAAAATAAATTAGGTTTAAAATGAAAATAATTTTTACTCCAGAAAAATGAAAATGATGGATAAAATTTTTACGTGTGTTGATTTAACTTATCTTAAATATAAAAGACAAAAGTAGCAAACTACATTTTAAAAGACAACTACTCAGAAAAATACATATATCTGCACACACATCATTACAACTACCGGAATAATTAAAGTCCACATCAGTCCGGCATCATCTCCGGCAAACACCAAGAAAGCATGGCACACATTGCAAGCAAATATCACAAGCACATCACAAAATATAATGACCCCAACTCTCCTCAGAAAAATACATATACCCATGATTGATTTTAAAACCTTCATCTGAGACTTCAATTCAAATATGATAGAACATTATAGTCTTTCTGGCATACTAGTGAGAGGCCTATTCATGCATTCATACTTCAATACTATAATCTTTCTCAAAGTCAAAAGTTTGATGGCTCCTTCCTACCTCTTATTCCATCTGCGCATTTTTCTTAAATCTAATGTTGTTGAAAAAAATTACACGTCGAAATATTGTGTTCGAATTAACTTTATAAAAGTACGTTTAAATTTTTTTTTTCCAAATTGAAGTTGAGGTAAAAGTTCATTAACGTAATGTGATTTATAGTAAGTTAAATTTTATTAAAAAAATAGTTCAATCTAAATATAGTTAGATGATATATCAAAACATGAGTTTCACAAAGTTTAAATATAAGCAAAGTTAAAAGTCACAAAACAACTTAAAGCTATTTCTCAGCTACAAGTCACTTGCCCAAAAAGCAATTACAAATATACTATCTCTAGTTTTTAATATAAAAACTAGTTGAATAATTTGAGATGATTAAAAAAATTAGTCAAGTTACTTATTTGTAATAAATATGTATTTTTTTCTAAAATATTTTTGCTAATTAAGTGTATTGGTTAGAACTATCATTTTTATAAAAAAATAATTTAAAAAAATAGATAAATATGAGAGATAAATTTAATTCTGGTTTTGTATTTAAAAATAAAATAAAAATAAAATAAGTTATTATATTAAAAATTGGAGATAGTATTTTAGAGGGTTTGGCGCCGGATGCCCTTAATGTTTGGGCTCAATCTCTTTTGTTGACAATTGGACCCACAATATTTTGTCGGAAGGGGTAGCCCAAAATATCGGCCTACATATTTATGGTTAAGATAAATCTTTGGGGAACTTCTTAGGCCTGGCTGCGTTCAAAAGCTGGCCCATATGTTTTATTTTATGGGCCTCAACTTCAGGCCCATCATTAGAAATCCCAGAACAAAGGAACACAGCAGAAGTGGCCTGACCCACATATTCTGATAAAGAATCAAAATTTGTTTGTTTCTTTTCTGTCTTCTCCCATTTCTTACCAGTTACGTTCCCGACCTGTACTCACGGCGTTCCTAACGTGTGCTAATCGGACGGCCACTGTTTTCCCGGCGTGCACTGTGGCAATCTCTCTTCATTCCTGGACATTATCACCTCTTCCTTGTTCTACTGTCCTCTCCGCTTCCGTTCAAAGCTGACTACAGCGCGACAACCCTTTCTCCTCTCCGGCCGCAAACCCTCTATTTGAGCCTCCCTAGTCCTGGCATAATTATATTTTGGAAAAGGCTCTTTCTTTCTTCGAGCTACTTTCGCTCTTTGAGCTTCCAGTTTCAGCATGGGATTAGGGCATCCCTCTTTGCTTCTCGATCCATTGTATTGATGCATCTCGCCCGAGTTGGTACATTTGTCTTTGGAGATTTCTTTTCAAAGTTCATTATTTAGGGTGTTGTTCATCGATATGGCTGATAGTTCGAGGGGTCGAGTTACCATTACTCTTGGGCACAGTGGTCAGGTACTTTTTTATGGCTTCTAATGTTGGATATCTATTTCAAATCTTTTAATTTTTTTCTGCTTTATATTATTGAAGTTCTCATTGTAACTTTTGCTGCTTTGAATTTTTACGAACTCCATGAATTTGAATTGGTTTATCCGTGAATGCTTGGTTAAATGATGGCGGGTGATTTTCATTGAAGTCTTTTGATTTCTATTCTGTTTTTTTTTTTTTGTCAAAAGAAATGGCTTTCCCTCTTTGACACCCATTTTTTCTTGGTCAAATTCTATGCGTGGAGAATATAGAAAAGAAGTTAAACTTTTCACTTTTACTCTCTCTACTTGTAAGTTTCGTTCTCGATCACGAGGGTTTAACCGACTTTATTTGAATGAGCTATTATGCATTTGAGTATAGGTTGTCAAGAGGGACCAATCTACGGCGGATGTTCCCTTCCCTTCCTATGCTGCAGTTGGCACTAAGCGGTCTGTGAGAGATAGACTTGGAAATGATACCGAGAGTTCATTGTGGAATGGGAATGATCTCAGCAACTATAAAAGGTGTGTTGCTATTCCTTTAGCCCCTGTTGCTGGTCATGTAGTTCTTAGCATAGTATACAAAGTAGGCACTATTCTTGCAGAGATTCTCTATTTTGTTCAGAAACTTCACCCTGAAAAATGCGTGAATAGTGTATTTAAATTGTGAAATAAATGGTATATTGGACCCTCTACTTGTCAGTTATGTTAGTGGAATAGGCTGCTGCTGCCTGTGCGAGTGTGTCATTACAATATGAAAAATAATTCGCTTACATCAAAGATTTTGTTCACTGCAGACAGCGAGGAGATATAAGCTCGCAAAATGGGTTCAATGGTAGTAAGCTCCCTCTACAGTGAATTTTTATTTTGATCAATCTCCGTGCTGCTCAACTTCTATAGCCTTAATCACATCATCATCAATTTATCAGATGGGCGGATTGGCAAAGATGACCTTCGATTGAAGCTTATGCGAAAAAGTGCATCTAGATTGGCTGAGAGTAATGGTGGCAAGAGGCACATGGACCTTCGTGAAAAATTGTCAAGGGTAGCTCCATCTGCAGCAGCCAATAGTAGTTCAAAGCAGAACTTGTCTGAACCAAGGGAAACAAGTATGTTGGGACGAATCCCTTCTGCTAGAAGTTCTGGTGATTTAGCACGTATGGAATCAGTGCGAAGTTCATATTCACCGTGGACATTGGATCATATCAGAAGAAGATCACCCGAAGGGCTTCCAAGCACTTCCAGGGGAATTTCCCCTCAAAGAAAAATGGAAGACCTGCAGAGAAGGCCTTCGAACAGGACTTATGATAGTATCAGGTCAGCTCCATGTAGGGATGTTGAGGCTTCAAGACCTCCTAGCACTGCACCTTCATCTTTTGTGGCCCACTCCACAGCATCCACTTTACCTCTAGTAACTGCTAAGCCTGTAGCACCTCATCAAGGGCAACTGCCCCCACCACGGACCCCATTTGTGGTAAATTCTACTTATTTTTTAACTTTCCAAATTGCTTTTCTCTGATGCTGGTTTTCTATGTTAATGGAGAAACTTTTTCCATGATAATCTGTTTATCTAGAGTTCCTTGTTTCATGTGTTGTGGTCCAAGGCTGTCTCCTCCTCCTCGTTTTTCCTTTTTTTTTTAAATTTTTTTATATTGTAATAAAAAAGAAAAATTTCTTTGTTTATGAAACCTTAAAGAAGCAATTGAATTTGATAGTAATCTTTTAAAGTGAGGATGATGACTACTTATCCCATGACATATGAATTAGGGTTGGATTTATGGCTTTCACAATCCCTGCAGTAATCTCTCTCTCTCTCTCTCTCTCTGTGGGTCGGGGGGGGGGGAATGAAAGGGTTACCCCATAAAATATCCTGAAAGTAACTGTAATGTTTTAATTTTAAAATTAAATTACTCAAAGTAGGCTTTTAGGCCTGAACATGAATTGTTGTCTGCAAGGTGCCTTGGGCAAGCACCTGGCTGAAGACACCTCGCCTCAACCTGCAAGAGGTGTTGTTGAAAATGAGACGCCTTAGTGAAATTAAGAATGAGAATTCAATCTCTTCCACATTGGGAACTAAATCGGAAGGGTCAGTACATTTTGAATCTCCTTGCCCATTGTAATTTTTCTTAGAAGCTCTATGTCTGGTTAAAATATTTTCCAGTAGACTGGTCACATGTGAGCTCACAAGGGACTGATTGGGGATGTAGAATTTGTCCATTTGAGTTACTTTGGCCATGATTTGAAAGGTATAAACAAATTGGGCTTGTAATGGTTTGCGAAACTTACTAAGCTCCCCCTTGTGCTTTGCCTTATAATTCAGTTATGGATGGTCTCATGGCCATAAGTTGTGGGTACACTGACTGCTTATTTTTAAACATCTGATTTAAGAAGTAATAATTGCTTCAATTGTAAATTTGTAAGCCTGCAATTTAAAGGTTGTCATTCTCCAAAGTTTGTTTTCATTGTTACTATTTAGAACTAGCAAGCATGCTTTTTGATGAACAAATTCTGAATGGGGTGGTGGTAATTGTGTGCACTTCAAGCAGAAATGACAGGCAAACAATTCCTGTTGCGTTGATTTATTGCTACTTGCTAGAACGTTGGTTTGGTTGTATTGATATTCCAAGTGAGAATAGTTCTGTAATTGTAACTTTGACCTCTTTGAAACTGAGGAATATTTTGTCTTGAAGACAAGTTCATATTATTTTTATGTAGCTTCATTTTTACTGCACTAGATGCTACTTTTCCGCTCTTTGCTGTAGAAGTACTGGATTTTTGTAACAGTAGAATTACCCGGCTTATCTATGTGTTGAAAGTTGGCTTTCCTCCTTTTATGTCCTTTTCATTAATATTAACAATTACAATTAGTGTGCGGTGGATGTGGGTAAAGGTTAAGGGTTCAATCCCTTCTAATGCAACCTCCCCCCCCCCCCAATTAAAAAAAAAAAAAAGAGTCATGCTTGAAGTTACTTGGAATGGAGGAGTAAAATGTGACATAAAAGGAAATTGAACCTGATTTGTGTATATAAAGGGGGGAAAACAAAAGGGAAGAAAACAAAAGTTTTTATCTGGGATCTGTCCCTCCAAGTTACTATCCTCACAGGAACTCTGGAATGCTAGTAGATATTAAAGAATTTTATAACATTCAATTATTTATCATGTTTATCATGCCCTCTACTCGTTATTTTTTATGCCAAGAGTTTATTGAGTATGCAAGCCAAGCAAGTGTTGTGACTTGTGAGATGGTAGTTGACTCATTGGCATTTTATAGTGAATACCGAAGGCATAAGTAATGGAAAAGCTTGATATTGATTTGTAAAGCAGCTAGTGACCTTATAGAGAGAAAGTCTGCATGAAGTGTATGCTGGAGGCAGAGTCTTAGTTGTTTCTAAAATAACCTAGTTATTGGTCAACGATGAAGTAAACATTGTTCATTTGTGTACTGCTGACTGCTCTATTATCTTCCTTCTTCAACAATGCATGGACACCATATGGAGAAGTAATCCAGTATCAGGAGGGCAAAATTCTGATCTGTTGGAAGTTCCATTGACATCACTGCTATAGTTATCATTAGTCTGTGTTACATGATCCCATGCATTTGTGTCCCATCAAAAGTGGTTTTTGCTTCTTTAAGCAGAGCAAGCTTAGTGTTTCATTGACATGTCAATTGGCGATTATGTAGGGCAATGAACAGCAGACGCCCCAAACTGTTGATGGTCTGTTGCATGCATTGGGACTGGGAAAATATGCCATTCTTTTCAAAGCTGAGGAAGTACGTAGCTCATTTATTTATTTAATGACTTTATTTTCAACCTTATCTAATGTTGAGTTATGCTTTGTTCAATGAAATGTCAAAGTTATCCAGCAATTCGCTGGTGAAGGATTCATCATGTGACTAGGAGAATCTTTTATTTGAATGAACACTTTGACTATTCAATCGTCTGTAATAGAACTAACATTGAGCATGGTTTTTGCTTCATGATTTTTTTCTTCCTTGTTGCTTTATATGGCTAACTTTTTTCCCATGTAATGTTCAGTGGATTGAGCTATTGTTAACTGTTTATAAATTTGGGGATGAGCAACTAGAGTTAACATTTTCCAGAAGACATGACTGAGAACTCTGGTTCTTTGAATTTTTTCCATACTTCCATATTTCAGCCAAAGGCTGGCTCCACAACTCAAAGCACCTAAAACTAACATGGTGTCGTCTTTATTCATTGGTTTTGTTCCATTTGCTTGCTTTATTCATTAGTGTTTATTCCCTAAGTAGATTAGAAATTTTTGGGGGGGGGGGGTCCTCATCTTTGATGAGTTCACACAGACATTCTTGCATTTTGTAATCACTTAGAAGGGGTTTCATTTCAATCCATCTAATGGGGATAGGAATTCCAGAAATTTTAGCCCTTCAATAGTGGTTCGTGAAGCCAGGGCCCAAAAAAATTAGTAATAATGGTTTGGGAAGCATTCTATCTTCCGAGGATCCTGTTCTTGGCTTAAGGTATATCTCCTACTATGATGCCTGAATTTTCAGCTGAATTTGATCTTTGCAGTCCATGTCAAGCAGTTGACAAATTGTATTGTTACTTACTGTAATGATTATATTATTAGAAAAGGTATAATTATGATTATAATTATCATAGTTATAATTGTATAATTTGATCATTTGTCATGCAGGTGGATATGACTGCGTTAAAGCAGATGGGAGAAAATGACCTTAAAGAGCTTGGGATTCCCATGGTAATATACCTTTCTTCTTTTAATTATTACTCTTATAAATTACAAAATGGGTCTTATATTTAGGACTTGAGCGGTATTATTTTTTTTTCATTTATGCTTTGTGCTTTGTTATGTTACAAGCGTTGGAATTTCAATTGAATATTCAACCATATATGAAGGAGGACATGAAGCTTGGACTGAGCATCACTTTTGACTCTGAGCCACGTATGCATATTGAATGTCATTTTTTCGGCTATGCTAAATGTTGCCTTGTTCATGCATCATGAACTGTATGATGGTTGTTACGTTCTCTGCTTCTTATTTGTTTGCAACAAGAAGGGCAAGGTTGAGAACAGGATGTGCTCATTTTATATGCTGAAGAGCTTATGCTGAGTTGGTTCATAGATTTATTTGTGTTCAATTGTTTGAGTTACAGGGTCCGAGGAAAAAAATTCTGCTCGCTCTCTTGCCACGTGCCAAGCGCCAACCGTGACATCTATCCTGCATGATGTTTGATGTGGAGGCTGATGCATGTCAGGATCACCAGGTTTTTTCGGGTGACGAACCCACATTTCCGAGAATCTCCACTTGAGAATTGCAGCCTTAACCTCTTACGGGGTTGAGTTCCAGTGGATCCACTTCCTCATTTTTTTGCATTCAAGAACGCTATCATTTAGGTTTCAATTAGCAATATTTGTGTGTAAAGTATTCCCTTGTTTTTCTCTGAGAAGAATAGGAAATGGATTTGTCTAAAATGTCCTGAACAGAAGTTGACAATTCTGTAACTCTGAAGATAGTGCTTTGCATTCAGCAAAATTTTGTTATGTCAGCAAAATACGTTGGATATTTTCACCCCCCCTTTTTCTGTTGCGAGTGTCCATTGTAAGCATCTTTATTTTCCTCAAAATTGGTAGGCGATTCGCAGTCCTTGAAGATATCGCATTTGTTGAAGGAAATTGATTTCCCAATTTATACCAAGTTAGGGCAATATTTTTCCAAAGTGGTGTGAACGTCTATACCGCTTTGTCGCAAAGCACTAATGGTATCAAATACTTTCGTCTTTTCTTTTCGGTTTTTACTTTTTCCTGCCACTTGGCAATACGTGACAGAAAGCCCTCTCTTCATGGTACTTAATTAGCATCGTCAAATCCCCATATACTGAGTTCTTGCCATCATAATGAGATAGAAAAAGAACTTTTGACAATTTAATATGCCAGTCTTGTACGCATCCGATGTAATTGTGTCACCTTTCCATCCTGTGATTTCTATCAGGGATCACTTTAAAAAAACATAAAAAAGATTATTCTCTCTGTCTCTCTTCACTTCTATTAAATAAATTATGCCGTTATTTGACATTTAAACAAGACACAGTGGAGGAACGTTTGCAGGCCTCGCATATCTCTAGACTATAAAATTCATATTATAATCATTTCTAACCAGCGATCAAATTTCTCTCTTTTTCTTTAATCCCTTGAGTAGAATCCGAGAAAATCAAAAGGTAACTCATCCAAGTAAAGAATTTAACCCGGTTATTTCTATTGCGTAATTTCAAGCAAAGGCTATCCAGATAACCAAGTCTCAAAGTGCTCAATCATTAAAGAAATATGCATAGTCAACGACGTGTTTGAATTCCCTTGCCAGTCTACGTGGATCAGCTCTAAATTTGTTCTTTCTTCAACGCTGCCTTGAACAGTCTCTCAGGCCCACAAACCAATAGAGTCTTTCTTTTTCAACTTTAATTGAGAATCAACAGATTCTCTCATCAATACACTTCTCTTTAGCAGCAGTGCTTTTTAAGTCAGTTTCAAGTAAAATTATAATGGAATCTGGTGGTTAGGAAGTACCTTCTTCCGCGCTTCATGGCTAAGCTTTCATTCCACAATGATCCTGACATCATCTTTAGCATCCCCCTCCGATTCAAACTCTAATCTCTGATCATCAAAATAAACATACATATAAATATATAAAAGACGTATTTTTAATAAATTTTTTTTTATATATTTTCACAAATGGGATTGTTCTAAGAAAATTGATACTAAATAGTGGGGAACCTATCCTGACAAGGCATTAAAAAGACGGGTGAAATTTCCAAGTGAGAACCTAACTCTAGAAACAAATAAAGTGCTCTTGATACATCAGTATTTGGTATAAGCAGACATTTCAAATCAACGTGTTCCTTCTCCGAAAGAACAATATTTGCTGCTATGATGTTTAATGGAGGTTTTTTTCAAACCGTAGTCAGTTTTGGCATTCTGTGAGCTCTCATAGGATAATTAAAAAACCTACTTCGAATTTGTCCAGAAGAGAAGCCATAAGATAGTGGTGGGATCAACTGCACCTGATGAGAGAAGTAGGGACCACTGTCTGATACTCCAAAATACAACGTGTAATGCAATAGAATTAACCATCAATCAATCAGCCAACCCACCCACTTGGATTGATTAGCCAATAGCCACCATAACCCAATCACTTCCATGAAGCTCCCTTTTTATTCTACATGTTGGGATGGTGATATGCTTGATTACACCATTCCTACTTGGAATTTTCCCTCCTAAAGCAAGAAAAAGCAAATTGAATAAACTTCAGGTAACGAAAAAAGGAGAGGGAATTGACGAGCATGAAATATTTATTGGGGGTAGAAGTCCAGCAAGGGAAGATATAGGAAGAGACAATGGAATAAAACACAATCTCATGGCTTTCTAAATTGTCCCAAAAGCAACAAAAGTGTGGGGTCCAACTAGAAGAAACAACTGTCCAACGCTAATCCGCTGTTTATTTTTTCTAGGATTATCATAGAATAAAGATTACTTGATGGCCTAATTCACCTGGAAACATATGCTACAAAAGTATAAGATGTAGGCTTGGTTTCCTCTGTGAAGATATGCCCAGATCTTATGGGCGACCTTTTATTAGTATATATGCTGACATCATAACCCCACTTCTTATATTCCTTCATTTAGCAACTACCACTTCATTGCCATTATCGCATTAATAAAACATGGTCAACTTAAACAGATTAGGATGATTTTTTTAATCATTTGTAAATGTGGGTGGTGGGACAATTACTGAGAAGCTTCAACCAATGCTGAGTAATCTCATTTGCTACAGCCTAAAGATACTTAGAGAATTTTAATTATTTACTTCAATTGAAAGAGCTGCAGTTGATGAGACTAGGCAGCATTGGCATCCATAAACAATAATATTAATGATGTTATGAAGAGCTTAGGTAGAGGGCGATGCAAGAATCCACTAAAGGACAATACAGGAATCCACTAAGTCATTGGTTGGTCAGTTAAAATAATGCTAGATATGCATTTTAATACAGAAGCAGATATGTTGTTAATTAATTAAGTTATAGGACCCTGCCTTCTGGATGATTACATCCTATCTTTCTTTGACTTTTGCAGCTACAGTTAGTTTTGTAACATTAATCATGTCTTAAGCATGGAATATTTATCTTTCTAGTAAGAAATAAAAAAAGCCAAGTGGTCCTATAATTACATGTTAATATATTATAAAGTGCTTTTAGACCATCTAATTTCATCTTTAAAAAATCACACTGAATCCACCCTGATTGAGAAGTTTGAGGTGTATCTACTACAATATGAAAGTTTTAAATTAACCAAACATTGCATGAGAGACGGCTTTTCCCTTATCTGACTTTTCTTTCAAATCTTTTTTTCTATTGACCCTTTCGGTTTCCCTTCCCCCAGTACTGTATGTCTGTATTATTAAACAACTACTTGTAATTTAATAGATGCAATGCATGTTAACCTAGAACCTTTAGGGCATCTATAAAAGGGAGAGAAGCCAGACAATATTGTGTGCATTTCTACCTTGATAGATCTCAGTTTGCCGGAGAAAGATGGAAAAAGAACATGGCTGTGATATTTCTCCTTCATGGGATAATGGAGAAAATGGTCATTCTTCCATGGAGAAGAGGCTAAGGTTATTTGGGTTTGAGCTGAACCCATATCAGATCAACGAGGGCTGTGTCAAAGACTCCGTGGAAGGGGACGAAAGTGTGAACTCTTCAAACTCATTTTCATCAGGTGGGGAGAAAACTGAACAGCAGGAGAAGAGTTCATCTGCAACAAGAGACAACACATCAGATCATGAGAGGAAGTTCGAATGCCAATATTGTTTCAAAGAATTTGCAAACTCACAAGCATTAGGAGGCCACCAAAATGCTCACAAGAAAGAGAGAATGAAGAAGAAGAGGTTGCAGCTTCAAGCCAGGAGGGCTAGCTTAAGCTACTACCTTCAGCCTTTTCAAAACAACCCTGGTTTTTCCTTCGACAGCTCTAATACGCCTTGGTTCTATGACCCCTCCTCTTATAACTCTGAGTTTTCTTTGTTTGAAGAACCTCAGATTAGCTTCAAAACCAAGGATCAAGATGCCATTAATGTTCTTAATGGTTTTGATCAGAAATCAAGTTGTAACTCTCATCCGTCCCTTTCCCTTCCTTCTCAGCAAGAGACTTGTATGTTCACTCTATCTCATACAGATAATAGGCCTTTCATCTTCCCTGCAGCTTCAAACCAGAGCCATAGTAACAAGGGTTTGGATCTTCAACTAGGCCTCACTTTGCAGTCAAATACGCATATTTAGTTTAGGACACATAGGAAACGAAGAAAAAAGCAACATAGAGAAAATCACAATTCATTATAGCTGGTTGGCCCTCACAGAGGCAATTCATCAGTCGCCTTGTGTAAAATTCATGTGTTGTTATAGATTAATAGCATATTGCCCGAACTGGTTACTTTTGCAGCAGATAATATCTCTATCAGAGTTGCCTCTTTCATTCTTTATTTACCTAATCTTTCTGTATGTTAAATACTTGAATGCAAAATTACTTTTCGAGCAAATCACTCATAGAGAGCAGAGGGAGAACAGGAACGTTGAGATTAATTAAAGAACACGTATCTTGTTAAATGGGCTTGACTATTCACATGTCAATGGTTCAAAACTCACCTGTCTGGATGGAAAAATATGGGTAGTGACCCTAGAAGAAGAAGAAGAAGACCACTGCCTTACTTCCAAGTTGGGAAAAAAAAATAAAAATCTTTTGGAACTTAAGGACGCCTTCTGAACAACTTGGGGAAATCAGAATCACAAATAATGTAGGGTAATATGTTCTAACCGTGATAATTTGGCCGAGAACATATTACCGATTATCTTTGTTATGCGTATATTAAGTTACTAAAGGTAAATTGTATGCCTTGAAACGTAAGAACTGGAATCATCACTTTTTGTTAAAAAGCATATAAAGTGAAATCCTTAATCTCATTTTCCTATTCCCTTTGACTTGCTGTTTAATATAGGCTTCATTTGAAAAAAGAACTAATTTTTCCCTGTAGTGCACATCATATATTTATTTAACTCACCAATCTTCATCTAACTTATATTGCATCTTTGTTTTACCTGATACTCTCTATTGTCATAAATATATCATCTTTTTAATTAATTAGTTGAATTTAAAAGAACATGGTTAACATGGTTATTTATAACTAATATGTTGAGATTTCATGACATTTTTTTAAAAAAAATACCCCTGATGATTTAATATTCAAATTTAATGTGTAGAGATAATAAGAATTCTCCAATAAATAAGGATATTAAAGAAAAAAATTAATATGTGATACAAGAGAAAATTAGAAGCCAAAATTTTTAATCGAATCTAATTCTTAAAACTGGACAAAATATTATATTTTATCTCTCTTGTCCGAATATTTTTATTACTTTCTCCTTCTAACCATTCATCATCATTCAATAAAATTTCCCCAGAAAGATCTCGTCTTAATGTTATTGTAGGGGGAAAAAATTAGCAGTCACAATTTAATAAGTACGGTTTTGATGTGTAAGGGTGTTCTCACTATTTTTTTTTTGTATAAAAAAATCACAATTGAGGTCACATACGCAAATAGATTGTTATCCACTTGATTCTGTCACAATTCAAAATTAACATTTACTTCTGTCGTATCTCTCGTATCAATGTCATTAAAATTAAAAAGGTTTTTTTGGTTATTTAAAAATAAAATTTTAAATCAATTTTAACAGGAAGAAAGATCAGGCGTCATCTTTTTTTATAAAAAAAATATTTGAGTTATCACCTAATTATTAATTAAAGAGACTCCATGCACGTTCCACTACAAGAAGGCAAAATGCTTCATCCAAATCATAATAGTCATCGTAGGACTAACCAAACATTTTAAGCAACTCTCATAGATTTAATCTAGTTTACTAACTATTAAAAAAATTGTCGGCATTCCGATTTCCTTAATTAAATCAAAGTCCAAGGCACCGTATTATTTAAATCAGAGCAAATTACGAGTATTATCCTTGAATTTCATTGAAATTATAAAGACTTCTTGTAAAAATGAAAAGTAAATTGCGTAATTTTATCAGGAGTTGTTTATTTAATTTTTTTTTTTTTAAATAACAAGCCTATCTACAGTGGGGGGGGGGGGAAGGAAGAAGAAGCCTATCTTTCCCTGTTTTTTCCGGCTGACTAAGGAACAAGCCTATCTAATTCATTCTGTCTTTACTCTTTAGGATGTTCGGTTAGGTTTTGAAAAAAAAAATTGGAAAAAAAAAACGCAAACGATGTTTATGTAAGTTTATCAAATTTAAGAAAATATGTACTTATTGATTCAAAAATAAAAAGGAAGCTCATAAAATTTTAATAAAATCAGGGACAAGACTTGGTAATTTACTCATCAATTTATTTAATTATGAGAACATATCACAATCGCATGCACGTTTTAATATTGGGCAAAACACATGCGACAAAATAAAGCAATCATATAATTATATTTTCTATTCTTTAATTTTTTCGGTGACCAGCCGCCTTGGGAAGTGCTTAAAAGGGTTTTTCTCATTTGCGTTTTGATGATTTGTAGTTTATTTATTTGTACACATATTTATAAAGTTAAGATAAAGGCTGGAAGATTGAAAGTCAACTATTCGTGGTGGTGGTTGAACTTTGATTTGAATAAATAAGAGTGTTAATTATAAGTTTTAAAAACTAATCTGACGGTAAAAGATGACAACACAATCAAGTCCTCTTAATCATATTGTTTCCTTACAATTTTTTAATTTTATTTTATCTTACTTGTTTTTAGTAACTTATTATATGCATTTTTTAAATAATTTGTTTCGCCTGCTGTGGAAGAACAAACATTAAAAATATGAGTATTTAGTTAAAGTGTTGAACAGATGGAATTTCAAGAAGAAAGGAACTCAAATTGACTATGAATATATTAGCTCTCATCCTTAATATAACATTCAGTTCATCAATTTGACAAGATTAAAAAAGTTAAATAAATTACTCATGTATAACATGTATTATATGATCTCTCTCAGAATACTTTATGTATCGTTAGATTATTAATTTATAAATTAAAAAATAATAAATATAAATACTTTACAATAATTTATTTAGATTTTTTAATATTTCCAAATTAATGAATAGGATCTTATATTATGAACTAATAAAGTTAAAGTAAGGAATACATTTTTTTTCTTCTGAATTTGGATCCTCTCTATTAAAATGTATTTCATTTTTGTTTTCTGTTTTAATTTATGACGGGGATCAATTTTAATAGCCTATAGCCCAAGACCAATCCCAAACATTTGAATTTGTCATAAATCAATTAACTGTCACAATTAATGATAGATTTTTGCCCCTTCTTTTTATAGCATTTCAAATCCTATACGCATCAAATTTCATCACCTCAACACCATTTTTAGCAAATATTTAGGAATTGATCTAGGCCATCAAATTGATCTAATGATTAGGAATTTATAAGAGAAAATATGTATTTGTTATTCATTTTTTTCAATCAAATTAAAGCCTGTAAGTTAAAACCCAGCAATATGAGTCATAAAATATAATTAAATAGCTCGGAATGTCTACTTACGCATGCATATTCGAGTACCTATATCTGTTGGTAACTCATCTAAAAACTTATTAGTTATTACGAAATTATACATATAAAACTACATAGTTATTTTTATCAGTAATTAATGAATTACCGAAGCTTCTTATCTATTTTTATCACATGTATGTGTAAAACATAAAGTGAGCTTATATATAATTCTTCTGAATCTCTAGATAATTTCTTTGTATTTTGAAACTCCACAACAAATCTCCCTAAATTCTTGTATTTATACAAATATTTTTTAACTAATGGTTTTTTTTTTGGGTTGAATTTTAACTAATGGTTTTGTTTGTTACTTAACTGCACATATATTAAAATTTAAGAGGTTCAAATGCATATAACTCAAAATTTGAGGAAATTACATACGCACACAATATAATTTCAAATGCATATAACTCAAAATTTGAGGAAATTACATACGCACACAATATAATTTAAGGCAGTATATAGTTTAATTAAGGTTTATTAGTTTATTTGAATTTATTATTAAGTTTTAAATATATATAAAAAAAAACTATTCGCATATGATTCAAAATTGAGGAGAATAAAGTTTGAGTCACGTAGCCTCAGATATCGATGTATTCTCAACGAGATTAGAAGGGTAAAAGAATTTGGCAGAAAACCAAAAGAAAAGGCATAAAGGGATTCGGAGTTATTCATGATAAACGTGCAAATTAAAGGATCTAGAAATAAAATGAAATTAATAAATATAACTTCATTCAAATTTGCAAGTAACAGTCAGAAACCTCTTCAGAATCATTCAAAACGGCGCAGCACCGAAAATAGAGAACCCAAAAAAAATATTTCTTTGCCAGTTTTGAAAATATCAAGTTTGGTCAATTTTGCCTCTTTTTTTTTTTTTTATAATTTACAGTCGCGACTGCTATATGTTAATAGTTTCGGGAGATCTTAATTTTGATTTAATACTTTAGATTTTTGGACTGAAGTTCTATTAATTACTTATTTCAATAATTTTCGGGCATCATTATTTTATTTGAGTCAATATTATTTGTATTCAGTAAAATTGTGTTTTAAAATCAAGGCTTTTGAGTTTTGACGATCTTGGAAGCAGAGAAACAAGCTTTTTAGATATTAAATTTCGAATTAAACTTTATGAAGAGATAACAATAAGTGTGCGAAGAATTTTGTCCCTTTTAATCAATTATTTCATTTGAATCATGTTATTCAGTCTATAATGTAATTTTTTTAAAATAGAAAAAATAAGAAAAAAAAAGACATTGTTTAACTATATTATTAATTAATATCAGGGAGGAAACATTGCCAGCTCATTCAGCAATTTATGTGATGGATAATTCTGTCGAACTAAATTTCCCTGAAAATTAAATAATTATATTTTACACGTGATATGAATTATTCTCCAGACCAAACTCCAGATGTGTGGCTTTAAGTATAAAATTAAAACAAATCCAGGCATTGCTTGCTTAAAATATTTTATTAGATATGATTCTCCCTCCTTTTTCTTAATAAATAACAACTAAAATTTAGAAGACTATAATTATTTTTCTAAATTTTAATTCCAGCTACTTATACAGAACATGATTAAAAAAAGTTAAGAAAAAATTACACAAAACCTAATAAAATATTTGAAAAAAATTGAGAGAATAAACAATTTACATCAAAGAAAAACACACCCACACGCACTCTCAACATTTAGGACTTTTTTCACCTGGCAGAATATTTAAGACTTAACAATAGTGAGATTGTTTGTCGATTTTATATTCGATTTGGTAAGCCAAATATGACAATTTCAAACTTTAATAATTTTTTAAAAATGGATTAATTGAATCTGCC